CACCAAACTAAACTATCTTCTAAACTAAACTAAACATAGCTACATCCGCAACAACATCATCAACAACCATAACATCAACAGCAACAAAAACAACAATAACATTAACAACAACAACATCAACAACCACATCAACAACAACATCAACAACAACATCAACAACAACATCAACACATCATTACAGTTTTAAAAGCTTCTATCGTTCACGCTTCATCCAAAACTAATCGCTTTCAATTTATCCGATTTCAACCGCCGACGATGACGCTACTAATTTCAAAACTCCCCACTATCATTATCAGTACTACTACCGTCATCATTATCATCATTCTATCATCATCATCAACATCGTCGTCATCGTCATCATCACCACCAACAAAATCGTCATCATCGCCACCAGCAAAGCCGAGCAGCAAGGCGAAGCAGATGATCGAGTTGCCCGAGAACTCTTTTGGCGAGATTTGGGCTTACGGAGGACCGAAAACTTACCGGGAAACATTCGAATTCAAGGAACCTCGCCCATCCCTACTTTCGATTGACAGGCTGCTGGGGACGGTTAAAGTCAAGGATGGATTGAGATTAGATTATGAAGATCGCAAGAGGATCGAGTTTACCGTCTGCGTATCTAGGATTGATGACCCCAACTGTTAGTATTTGTGTTTGTGTGTGTATGTGTGTGTGTGTATGTTAGTTAGTGTTTGTTTGTGTGTGTGCGGTGTGTTTGTGTGTGTATTTGTGTATGTATGTATGTGTGTGTGTGTGAGTGTGTGTGTGTGTATGTATATATGTATTTTTATCTTTATTACTATCACACATCCAGGGCAGGGGTGGGCAAACTACTGCCGACGGGCCGCATACGGTTAGGGGTATGGCTATTTTATGCGGCCCTCGTGGTCTTGTTTGCCGAAGAAAAGGTCGCCAGCCAGACATTATGGCCAAAAAAGGGGCCACAAATATTAAAAAATTCTCCCTCGGGTCGAAATAATTTGCAATTTAAGTACATATGCGGCCCTTCAGAGGTAAAATATTTCTCAATGCGGCCCTCACAGCAAAAAGTTTGGCCACCCCTGTGTTATAAGGTGATGTTTAGGCATGTAAGTTAAGACATACGCATACATATATACAAACATACATACATACAAACACACATACAAACACACATACATACAAACACACGTGCATACAAACACACACACATACATACATACACACATACATACATACATACATACATACATACATACATACATACATACATACATACATACATACCTACATACCATACAACATACAT